CTGGAAGCCGAACGCACTTGATCGCGCCAGAGTCATGAACCGCTGGACAGTGTTGTACCCGGTGTGCAGCCCACAGCAGACCAATATCCGGCCACCCGGGCTGAGAACCGCCTGACACGAGCTCAGGAGCGCGCCATGCCCCTCTGAGACCCACAGCGTGTCAGCCATCAAAATCCAGTCGTATCCAGAAGAAGAAGAGGAAGAAGGCTGCCCTGATCCTGGTAGACAGTCGAGCATCTCTTGGACACTCTCGCCCCAGGCGTGTCCACGCACTGCACACTTGACTCGTTGCTCGCACTCATGTCGCCCCTGGCTGTCGATACTACTTGATAGGAGGGTGGTGTAGCGTGCCGTATGGATCGACTCGGTCCTGGTCTCAAGTCGTCCTTGCTTCTCCTCGGGTGTCTCTACCAGGTTTTCGAACCAGTTACGCTCAAGGTTGTGCACGATCGCTGGATCTGGGTAGTCGGTCAGGGTGGCAAAGGCGGCTCCACGCTTGACGCACAAGAGTCCTGGCAATGCCGCTCCAGCTCCAAATTCAATCACTTTTTTTTTTTTTGTTTGTTTGTTTGTTTGTTTGTTGTCAAGAACATAAAGAGAGAAGAACTACCGTTAAACCCAACCATTCATATTTGTCTTCCAAGAGTGATTTCATATGGGTTTGATTCCTACCACGTTTGCCTTGGACGGCAATGACTTGTCCCGACTCGATGTACTCGGCCATGACCAGGGCTGCATTCCAGACAAAGTGGGACATGAGCTTCACGGCGCCTCCGCCCACATTGGCGAGATGGAGTTGGAGTTGTCCGTGGTTGTAATCAAAGATCTGGCCTGCTTCTCCATTAGCGACTTGGGCATCGCCAAAGAGGCCGATGCTCTGCTCGAAACCATCCAAGTAATCTGATCCCTTCGAAGTGGGTGACCCGGCTGTGTATGATGCATCGCCTCCTTCTCGCCGTTGAATCCGCTCCAGTCTCTTGAGGCGAGCCTGCTCGTCCTGCTCTGGTGTCCGTGTGTAGGCGGGCTTCTTTGTGCTGGTCATGGCCACAATTGTCGACAGGTCTGAGATTGATTAGGATGGTGAACAGAAGAGACGAGGAAGGTGAAGGAGTCTCCTCCTGCACCCCAAGCTTAAAAATAAACTTTTTTGGTTAGGACCCTCTCCCAAA